CTATATCCAAAACAGGCTGAACATGAAATCAGAGAGACAAGGAGGGTTCCACACAGGTACAGTGTCGTCCATTGTATAGGATCCGTCCTTAACAAAATGGTAGGCAAATGCCTAGCTTTTTTTTTTTTTACTGTCTTTGGGATACCAATGAGTTGTGATGAACTTCACTCCATTGTCATGCTCCGTTTTCTTCTTTCCTAAGCAAATTCAGAGTGGCAATTCTGTGGCAGAGTGGAAATGGAAAGAAGCAGGTGATACAGGAAGCAACTATGGATGTGTGAAATATTTGTCCTGAATTCAGGACGGGTTCTTCCAACCAATCCAATTGTGTTCTGAACTAGGAACAGCCCTTTTTCCAGCTCAGAAATTTGTTTCAAATTCAGAACCCATGTTATTTTGAGTTTGAAATATTTTAGGAATGATTGAAACCACCCAATCATTGTTCTTGTTCTGCGTAGGAATCTGCACCGTTATGATCACCACATTCCTCCACCTATGTATTCCCACCATAAATTCACAGATGGCTTACTAATTTTCTAGAATACTGTTTTTAACACCAATTTTCCTCTGCCTCTCTCTTTTCTTCTCTGCTGCTCCCTCCAATCTGCTCTTTCAAGGGACAGAGAGTGGACGCAGCTCCCCCTACTATAGCCAATTAGATGTGAGGTCTTCTACACCTACCTCATACCAAGCTCCTAAGCATTTCCACATTCCAGGTAGGCTCTGGAGGCCTCTGGCCAGCCAGTGAAGGAGTGCTGTATGGGATCCTTTTTGTTTTTTTAGTCTGCATGCTTGTGCCAAGTATGTTATTTGCATGAGTAGTGCTGTTGCCAGCCTAAGGTAAGCTGGCCGCAGCCAGCTACAACTGCATGGTAGAGGCCATCCATAAACAAGACCTGCAGCCTTCTCTCCTTCTTCTCTGAAATCTCCTTCTCCTCTGCCCTGCAGCTTCTTTCCCTGCACAAAGGAAAGACTGTCTTCTTCCTCGCCTTCTCTTCTCCTACCTCAAGGACCAGAGAGCAAATCTTGTCTGTCAGCTAAGAGCTTTTCTACACCACACATCTTTGAGACACAATTTATCTTATACTCCTCCTGCTCCCCTCAGGGCCCGCTGCACCCTTCCCCCAGATCTCTCGGGGCTTGCCAGGTGACTGCTCCCCTCCAGCAGAGACCCAGGTAAGGGCTGCTGCCCCACCCCTCCTGCAGAGGGGAAGGGAAGTCAACCTCTGTCCCTTATCAGTGTGCAGGAGACACCTGAATGCCCTCCCCACTTGCCTGCCTGCACAATCTGCAACCAGCTTTGTTCACAAGGTAAATTGTGCCTCATTTGTTTGGTCAAAACAAGTAAAGACCATTCCTGTGCCAAAAGTGGCAGCTGTGGAGCTCTCCTTCATTCACTCTATAACAGGAGTCCTTGGACTCTTCAATTCATCAATCCCTTCATGAAGTTATAGATTGTTCATCAACCCTCAAACACTTATTATATGACTATAATTTAATAAATACTAATTTAACTAATAGTACTATGAATAATAACAATAGAAGTAAAGTAATAATAATGGTAGTTAGACCCGCATTAACCACTTTGGAGAACCCTGATCTAGAATTAATACAAATTAGGATTGAGATTTATTCCTTTGACACACATCTTCTTACTGGAATGAAAGTACAGTCAACTTTCTAGGTTTCGCTCTTTGTACTGATAACTTTGGGCCAACGACAAAGCCATTCTGGCAGTTTAAAGACACGGAAGAAGAAAAAGCTCTTTGTTTTCCATGGATTCCATTGGCATCCATTAAGGTCACATATGAAGAGTCAGTCAGCTGATAAAGTTCATCTTTGGGATTTGATTATTTTTCATTCATCTCCTAATCAAACTCCAGATGATCCTTGTAGAAATACTTGAAATTTACAGTTTGGGATTAAGTATTTCCACATGTTTGTTACAATCTCTTGACCTTAATGTATTCTGCAGGGAATCTCCAGAGATACATGGAGCAGGAAGATGAAACTGACCTAATTTAGGCAAGCTCACCTGATGTAATTGGCCTGAGTTGCCTTAACTGGCCTCCTACAATTTTCCTTGCCCTAGTATCTCCCTACTGAAACAGACATTGTGATGGCTACTGCTCCTGTAGCTTTTGCTTTTGTCTTTTATGGATGGCCCTTTTGCCTATACATTGGATCAGCCCACCAGTAAGCTTCTGCTGGTAGAGTAGCTCCTATTCGCAGCTTGCTTTGCTTCTCTCTTATTTGAAGAGACTATGGCTGACTCCTGGATGACGATGGGTTTTTGTCCCTGTATCTCTAGGTAACCAACTCATCAATCATCCCGTGCCATTGCCAGACAAGGAGACAATAGCCATTAGTACTCACCAAAGGAGGACTTGCTATCTCCCAAGCTGAGGCCAGCTACCAACTGTGCTAGAAGGAAAGCTGTCTGCCTGACCCTGCATGCTGTCAGTAGTGAGCATGCTCACAGCATGACCTCTTGTGCACGTACACATTCACTGTCTTAAAGCTGTTGAAATAGCACACAAAGAGGATTAATTCCTTCCCCACCCCTTAAACCATCTCCCAACCTAAGTTCGCTCGGCAGGTATTTTAAGATAAGACTGTTTTATCTTAAGATGGGAAAGTACCAAGCGAAGTAAGCAGGCAATGTAATATTGGACAGGCAATTTCAGTTGCAAATCTGGTGGTTCCTGTGATTAGTGTAGGGATCATGCTAACCTTTTCTATATCATATATGTTTTTTTACTTGTGCTGCCAAAATGATACGGAGAAGATTCCCACCACCCCTCTTCAAGAATGACAGGCAGGTTCCTGTACCTCTAAGCTACACACTCTGGCTCCTCCCTTTTGCTACCTCCTTCTTTCCTTCATTATTTTTCTTTCTTTACCTCTAGCTGCTGCAGAGAGTAACATCTATCGGAAACCACCCATCTATAAAAGACACGGTACAGTTTGGGCATGGCTTTAACATATATTTGGGCATGCAAGTTAAAATAAACCAAAGTTCTGTTTAGGTCTGGTGGTGTGCATTAGAAGTGGCTCAATAAACTATACAAAGGTTGGTGGCAGTGCCAGACCTGGACATAATAGACTTTGAAAAGAAGGAAAGTATAAATGGCCTTTCAGAAACCTGAAAGGAGGGTTGAACAGAAAAGTTTGGCTTGCTAGATCTCTTATCTTAGGGTGCCTCCATGTGTTCAGGAAAAGTAAACCCTCAATAATGTAACTCATGCAGGAAAATAGCATGTTGCTTTTAAAGTGTATAATTCTTATTAGCTTTTAAAACATAAGGATATGAGTTGGAGCAGGACCATATACCTTTAGATATTGTGGTCGTGCTACTGCTGCTCCTTAGCTTGAAACTCTGCAGTGTGTGAAAATAGATGCTTTCCATGGAGAATAGGAACCAAAAGGAGCAAAGTATTTTACAAAGGGAGCTGAAAATAGAAGAGCAGGGAAGGCAGATTGAGAACTTTGGCAGGATGGAAGAACGTTTGAATAACAAAGTGAAAAATTGTGCATAGTTATTTTAGAAAACAACAAATAAGTATTTGTGGAAGAGGGATGACAACCCTACAGGATTTTAAATCTACACATTAGACCCAATAAGACCCAACTGTGTACAAGAAACCAAAGTATGTTACATAAAGGAGTGACACAAGAAGTCAGAGTAATGATAGAAGTGTATGATTTGGGCAGCAGAATGTCAGATAAGTAATGAGAGATCAAGCTGAGATCATTGGAATCAGAGTGAAGTCTGCAGTAGTCAAGAAAAGAGAGGTCCAACACATAGAGTTTCAGCCAAGAAGATGAACTAAAAGACCCTCATTGTTTTAACATTGTGTGTCAAATTAGTTGTATGATGAACTGAACATAGGAGTACAGGAGAGAAATGAATTTCAATTTTTTTTTAAAAAAGACTCTAGGTTGGCTTAAGGAGATTGTTGGATATGATGGCTTCTATATTTAAAAAAAGGTGATGAGAGAAGGAACGGTAAATCCAAATTTGTACTTGAAAAATATATTGAAGCAAAAATGTCAAATGAATAAATGGACCTCGNATCTACCAGGTATTTAGGCAGATAATGCGGCCAGGAACCCGGGGGCAGCTCGTTAAGCTGCCGCCATCAGCAAGGTCCTGCCCCGGAAGTCCAAAATTGGTTGTCTTTAGCACTGAGAAAAAACAATTGAAGAGAATGAAGAAGGTATCTTGGAAGGATAATACATAGAAGAAAGTCAAGACCTATTCTTCCTTATTCCAGAGTGAAGGGCACACAATTATGGATTTAATTTACAGCAAATCCCAACTGAATGTTAGAAAATATTTCCAGCAAGTTTCACAGTGGATTTGTCCCAAATTTAAGTGGATCTTTAAAATGTTATGATTAAAAGGCAATATTTGAAAATAACTGAGATAATTTTTATTGATTAAAATATTCTTTCAAACAACATAAAATATAATGATAAAAACAATCCTTGTTAGGAATAGAATTACACATATAAGGGAATATCAAAATAATATAACTCAAAACCCCTCTATTTTCCAATGTTAGAATTCCAATGCTTATGGCAATGTTTTCTGTTGCAGAAAATTTTTCTGTTGTGTTCTGTTATGATGATTGCAGCCTTCAGATAATCAGAAAATCATATGATGAAACAGGCAATAAATCTATTGAAAAGGAATCAGGGGAAAATAAGAAAGTGAAATATTTATGAATGTATATAGCTCATGTTGTTGTGAAACATGCTAAAATGTAACATTAAGTCTTGTACAGAACAATCCACTTACGGTAGATTGCTACAGGATTCTAATCTCAAAATGCTTTGATATCTTTGAATTTTCCTGCAACAAACCGCATAGTGGGAATTTGGATGAAATTATAAGAGATGATGCTAAAAAATTGGAAGCCTAAAAATTGAAAGCAAATTTCAGGGGAATCGGGCTACATAGTTACTTCAGTGTTTATACTTTAGAACAAAATCAAGCCAATAAGCCCAAAGGCTCCATTAAAATATTTTAAAAACTTAAACTCAAAGATATAGAAATTGCAAAATATTAGTGTTATAAGTTACAGGGAATTCAAAGCCGTATGGCAAAGTCTATTGTGGAGAAGACAAATTTAGCACAATAATGAAACCACTGAAACCATTTAAATTTTCTTAAAAATAAGGGGAGGCATGTTAATAATTAGGTAGTATCATATAATTATAAGTGGTACATCTCCTTGATTTGAAACAGTATTTATAGCAAGATTACCCTGATGTTTTATGAAAATCTAACAACAAACCTTAATGCATGGTTGGAATACAAAGTCATAAAAGATTTTTGGGCAAAAATCTATAATAAATACAGCCAATCAATCATGTGCGATGGAAAATATGACATAAATTATAGTATTACTGCCAAATTTTGATTCATCTAAATCAAAGAAACATCACTTTTCTTAGATAGTCATGTATTTGGTTAGAACATTGGCATGTGGATATTTTGTTCAACAACTCTTTGTTCTCACTGATTTCTGTAGGCAGGAGGAAAGCACTATCATCCCACTTGTGCCAGATGTGTACGATGTCACCAGATGTTCACAGAAGGGGAAGAAATGTACCTCACAGGTAGGAACACCTATTGGAGGCAAAAGATCTCATAAAGAATTAAAAAGTCTGCCTCTAATCCACAGGGGGCAAATTTAATACTTGTCCTTGCAACTTAAACATGATATGAACATCTTTTAAGAGCCATGCTGGGCCTCGCTGAAGAAAATTTAGTCTTTCATTGTGATAGACTCAGGTTTTATTAGAGAGAAGTTGATTAATCTTCTCTAAACATTACATGAAACTGGAATTTGTATTATCAATCCCATTTCAAGGAGAACATGCTGACATTTTCAAACAGAAGGCATTTGACTGAATTTAAAACAATATTTTAATTTTCTGACTGCAACAAGCTAAATATATTCACATGTTCATGGAATATCTAGTTGCCATAAGAAATGAGATGACTAGATCTTAATATAAGGTTAGGATGTTCTCCTCCCTGTTCATCTATTTTCAGCTTAGAGAGGGAGTCTCATAGACAGTCATTTGGTGTTTGACATTGTGAGTCACTAATTACCCTTTGTATATCAACATTAATTGTTGGGCTGGGTTTTTTCCCCCCACCCTCACACTCCAGGAACTGTTGGCTTAGTTTCTGCGTGGGATAGCAATTAAAAATTGGTTTGTTTGGGAAGAGTAGAGGCATCATTAATGGCTCCTTGGCTGATCAACTGGTAGAAGACTTGCCACAATGATGGGCATTCATTTTCCAAACTGTTGCATCTGTCCCGATACTGCTTATGAGAGCAGAATTGCATAACCTTCAAGGGCATCTAAAATTGAGGAACCTGTGAGAAGATGAAAAACGGTGGGGATGATTGCTGGAGAAGCTAGAGATTTATTATTTTCCTCATGTGACTGGGATGATTCCAAGAATAATAAAAGATAAACAAATTGCACACAAAAATACCTCCCCGTTTTGCTCTCCAGCCATCTAAGTGGAACTTGACAGCAAATGTCAGGTAGGGTGATGTTAGATTGCTGTAATTTGACTCAATTAAAGAAGCCATATTCATTCACTATCCGAGAACAAACAAGAAGAGCAATGGTAGCCAGAGCAACCTTGGAATATACAGTATATGCATTTCTGTCTAAAAGGAATAAAGTCATAGCAACAGAAGCAACAGGAAGGGACCAAGATGGGAGATTTCTAATAGAGAATCATTAGGACTACTTGAGAACTGGTTCTTATGTTGGATTAATATAATTTCTGGGCTCTTCTATGTAGTCACTGATGTTATTTCCCAAGCCAGTATTTGCCATCCTCAAAATGCTCATTACTTCCTGTGATCTGACCCATTGGCCAGTGTCAGAGTAATAAGATTCCCTCCACCTTCCTCCAATGTTCCATGTTGCCTCCTTGTGTTTGCTTTCCCAAACAACAATCTGGTCTTTAAGAAACACAGTAAAAGGGTGCCAAAGTGGCTTGATCTTAGCGGGGGAAACAGGATGAGGTAAAAGTTTAAAAAGTTGCTGCCTTTGTAAAACTACCTGCTGAACAGCTTCAGAGTTAACACNATGACCAGTCAGGGCTTACCGTGGCCATAGCACAGACTAAACACCAGCTGCAATCTAGACTGGAATTTCTGAAGTTGGCTTTGGAAGCAGCCAGAAACAACGTGGGGGATGAGCATCTTACATTACAATACAGAACTGTTCTCTATTACTTTAGGAAGTCCGGACAGGAATTGGATCTATTGTAATTGCACATAAAGAACAGGATCCATGTTTAATTATAAGGGTTTGGGCAGGAAGGAGATGCCAAATCTGAATCCAGCTCAGTTTCTCCCCATGGACCTCCCCGACAATGTTCCCATATCTCACCTCCAACACCACAGAACACTTATGGTGACAACTTAGTGGATAGGAAGTGGGTTTGGCTTTTGCATAAAAAGTTGTCCATTTGATCCTCCAGTTTATATATTGGAACATCCAGGATAAATGTAAATAGGGCTGGTCATCTGCTGTCATATATTATTAGAGCCAGAGCATCTAATGGGTTTGGTTTCTACTTCTGCTGATTCTTTCCCTGGTTGCTTTTTCAGATTCTCACGCTGCAGCTACAAAAAGCAAAACTAGTGAAGACATCAGCCAGACTTCCAAATATAGTCCAGCTTATTCTCCAGATCCATATTATCACTCAGAAACAGAATATTGGACTTTTCAAGGTTCACCCAAAGGTAACATTCTCCATTTAGGACACTAAAATCTTTATATTCCAACTATACCCCATATGTCAAGGACTTATTGGGGGGAGATTATATCTGAGATCTCCAAAAAAAGGACAAGGTGCATTTTATGACAGATACCCCTGGTTCTCTGAAAGCCTTGGATGCAGTCCCGAAGATATCCAAGTTAATTATCAAGTTGAAATATGATATAAGGAGGAAATTATTGCATGTATGATTGGAGAGTACATGTTCAATTTCTTGAAATATGAACATAAAATTTATCTTTTATTATGGACCCACCTACTTTCAGTTCTAACAGCACCCTGACTTCCCACTCTCACTCCAATGCACAATGCAATTTTGATGGCCCTGCTAAAAAGAATAGATCACACAGGGTAACAGAAATAAGTCGTAAGCCCATCCCCAATAATTAGTTGCCTTACTCTGACATTGGGCAAACTCCAAATTGAATGCTTTGACTATATTTCCTTACAGCTCCCCGAGTTCGAAGATTCTCATCAGGAGGAGAAGAAGATAGCTTTGATCGAGGGATGCACAGAGTGAGTGTTCAGCTCTGATTAACTTTTGCCCCTGCTGTCATACTGGTGTAGACAATACTCATTCTTTTGTCTTGTGGTAATGAAACTTCTGTCTTTTTTCTATGTGGACCTCTAGTGCGTTGGAAAGGAGGACTCACAACTTGGCAAGGTCCTCGGTTATTTTCTGTATAGCCTCAGATAAAGCCACCTTCCTCTGTGGTGAGGTAGATCCGCCTGATGGCTATCAGATATGCTGGTCTTACAAAATTCATATGGTTGGTTGGAAAATATGGAAGTTGAACTTCACCTCATCTAACATTGATAGTTGCTAAAAACAGTGACCTCACCCAGCCTATCTCATACAAGATATTGCTTTTGTACATTATTATATTGTATTGTATGTGTGTCTGCTTTAAGTCATTGTATTGATATTAACCAAATATTAGTCTTTAGCAGACCTTTCTGTAAAAACAAGATGCTCCTTATTAAATGCATATGTATATAAAATTTGGTGTGCCTAAAATTCCACACCAAAGCTGAAAGACAAAGTTTGCCTCTATGACTCTTACTCTTTTTTTACCTTTACTTTTTAAAATATGTAGCTCCAGACAGGAATTGGCCGATTGATACTGAAGGAAGAAATGAAGGCCCGTGCTAATTCATACATGGACCCTTGGACACCTCCCCGCAGTTCAGCAAGCAGCAGAGAAGCTCTTCATACAGCAGGCTACGAGGGCTCCTTAAATGGCTGTAAGCAACAGCAGGCACATCACAACCACTCCACCTGCCAGCAGAGGGCTGTTTTTGAGAACCCTCAACAGTGAAAGATTGAATAGTCAGCAGTTGATTTTCTCTAGGAACCCTGATTGTATGTGAGGATCCCAGAGCATCGATCTCCCACCAGAGTGTTGAGATCAGTTGAGATCAGGTATTCAACCTGCTAGCACTGGAAAACTCCAATGCTAGCAGCTCAATGACAAACAAGAATAGACTTGAAGAAATTTGTACAATTGAACAAAACTATGGATATGATCATTCCAGCTAGATGTTACTTGCTCAGTACAAAAAACATAATAAAGGGGGATGGGACTGGGGCTAAATGCCCATTAGCCAATTATCATAATTTATAGTGATGCAATAGGAATGAAAACAAGTTTTATATCAACTCAAAATTGTTGGGCCACACTAAAAATTACTAGTGGAAAATAGCCTTAGAGCGGTGGTGGGTTGCAGGCAGTACACCCCAGTAAGGGTGTACCGGTGCCTGACGGGAACACCGGGTACCATTCCGGTACGCTGCTCTGGAGGGCCCACCTGCCCGCCTGTCCTCCTTACCTGTATTTGAGCTCTTATCAGCATGTACGGTGCCTGCGCAATGCTGCACCGAGCAGCTGGAGTGTCGCGGAGGCTCGCGGAGGCGTTACAAACGGTAAGGACGCACACACACAGTGTGCGTGCATGTGGGAGACGCTGGGCCTCCATTGCACCATACCGGTTGCAATGGGATCTGGAACCCATCACTTCTTTAGAGGTAGAAGAGCCCTGAAAACAAAGAAAATAACAGCAGTCATAGAAGAGGAACTTTAAATGTTCAGAGTGATCAAACACAATCAATCCATTTGCTTAATTCTGTTCCTGGCTCTTGTACTGCATTTCTCTGTCTGATCAAACCATCTGATTTTTTGCCATGCTAAAAATAAAGCCAAAGAATAAGCTCTTAAAACCTTTACCTGGTAATAATTCAAATGTAACTTTGAACTTGTCCTTTCCCACATGTATATGCCC